TCCCGCTCCGGGCTTTCCACCCCACACCATCCCTCCGCCCGCAGTCCTGTGCCGGGCTTTCCACCCCACACCATCCCTCCGCCATCTCACCGGCCTGCTGTCACCACTCACTCTTCATCCGCCGCCATCACTCCGGCCCACGCTCAATCCACTGTCGACTCACGACAAAACCTGCGCATTCAGCTCTCCCCACGTGCTTCCCGGTCCCGACCCAGCTCCTTCACAGGGTAGGTAGTTAAAATGGGGATAGAATTACTGCAGAGGGAGAGAATAGAAGGGAGAAAGAAAGGAAGGAAAAAGAGAAAGAGAACTGGCAAGTAGAGTGGTGCTTCAAATGGAGCGACCTACCTTGCCACCATCTTTCTTGTCCATATCGTAAGGTCAGAATGTTCACTGTGTTCATCGCCATTTGCAATTCCTCAGGTACTGAAGTAATCTCTGTCTAAATACAACAAGACCTGGACAATATCCGGGCTTGGGCTGTTAAGTGAGAAGTAATGTTTGTGCCAAACAGGTGCCAGGCAATGATCATTTCCAACAAGAGAGGGTCCAATCATTTACCCTGACATTCAATGGCATTACCATTGCTAAATCTCTGGCAAGTAACTCCCATCCTGATTCCCAAAGCCTGTCCATCATCTACAAGCAAGAGTTTGATGATAAATCCTTACTTGTCTGGATGGGTGCAGCTCCAACAACACCCAAGAAGCTTGACCATCCAGGACAAAGCAGCCCAGCTGATTGACACCCTATCCACCACCTTAAACATTCACTCCCTTCATCAATGGCAGCTGTGTTTACTGTTTACAGGATGCATTTATGGTAACTCGTCAGTGCTCCTTCAACAGCACCTATCAATCCCACAGCCTGTACTACCTAGAAGAACAAGGGCTGCAGACATGTGGGAATGCCACCATCTGCAAGTTCTGGTCTAAGCTGCACACCATCCTGACTTAGAAATATATCCCTGTCCCTTTCGTGTCACTGGGTCAAAATCCAGAAACCACCTCCCTAACAGCATTGTGGGTGTCCCTTCACCCCCATGGAATGCAGTGGTCCTAGAGGTGGCTCACCATCACATCAAGGCATTTTAGAATGGACAATAAATGCTGACCTAGTCAACAATGCTCACATCCTGTGAAAGAATAAAAAAAAACAATGCAGAATTGGCCTGTTACACCCCAGAGCTTTCAGCATCATCATGAGTTCCACAAGACACTAGGTACAAAGTCTTACAGAAATAATCGACAGTCTGTGACTAAGGTTTATCTGCACTAAGAGAAAACTTTGTCATAACATGGTACTGATTTGAAACTTTATAAAACAAACTGGTACAGTCTATGTGTGTGGTGATTCTATAGGGTGCATCGGTCCAAGTAGTCATTTGCTCTTTCATCTACCTGGAGTCATTGAAATTTCTACACCAGAGAAAATTAGATTATTACCAATAAGATGGTGATTTGAATTGTCATTTTATGACCCTGTAACTTAGCGGTGAAATATTACCGTCAAATCTTTGTTTTATGGACATTAAGAAAGTACTCGATAATATTCAGTAGCCATAGAGAACATGAGGATCGGTTATATTTGTGGTGATTTGTTGTGGATTGAGTTTGAAGTTTCAGCTTAACCTAACAAATGAAGGGGGTCAGGTTATTTGAAACAAAACTTACTGTGAATCACGTTGTATTCTGCAGTATGAATATGAGGGATTTGGATCACTTAGAGTCACTTTTTTACTAAATGGATTTTATTCTCAGATATTACAGTACTCACTGAATAAGTGTTTATCTCTTGGCTTTCTACTGTGTTATTTCACATGTTTCAAGTCACTATGCAGCTTTTTGACCTTTTGAGAGTTTTGGTGATGTTGTAGATCTACAGAGCAAAGGCAAAAATCATATCATCATTTTGGCAGTAGCCTCAGATTATATTCCTAGGACAAAGAGAAGCAGTAACTATATTCCACAGTATTGTAATTAATAAAATCAAAAGCTAAAATTCAATCATAAAAATTCCACAAAGGTTGAAGTCTACATCTTTTCAAAGCTTCATGTGCTGGAGCACAGATTTGTATCTGCCTTACTTGGAACATTTTTCTGCAACTTAAAGGTCATTGAACCCAACTGGAAGGAGTAGTTACATTTACTCAGCTGTATCACTCTTCAACATACTTGTAATTTGTGGTTATCAGCTTCTGTTTATTGCTAAGCAACAGGAATTTGAAAGTCCATTCCTCAAATGTCATGTGATATACGTGAAAACTGAACTTGAAACTAATTGGAAAGGTAGGGCCACCCTGGAGGTATTACATAGTACTTTGTGACTGAATTTAACAAAGAAAAAATTGCAAGGTGCATTAGAACAACATTGTACACTTTTGCATAGTAGTAGGATTCAAGTTTGGTTCCCTTCAGGATAAGGGTGAGGCCGTGGTGATTGTCTACAGAGGTTTGGAGGTTCAGGTGCATAGATCTTCAAAATTTCATGAACAAGCGCAGAACATAGTCAAGAAAGCTACTGGAATGCTGGCTGTTTTGTTTAGAGGACTGGAGTATAAGGATGCTGATGTCATGTTGCAGTTATACAAAACCCTGGTTAGACCCCACTTGGAGCACTCTGAGCAGATCTGGGCACCACACTTCAGGAAGGATGTATTGGTCTTGGAGGGAGTACAATGTAGGTCTACAAGAATGATACCTGAAATTCATGGCTTAAGTTACGATGAGAGATTACACAAATTAAGCCTGTTTTCTGTAGAATTTAGAAGGTTAAGGGGTGATCTGAT